ATTCTGTACCGTCCTGTCATGAAGTGCTGTCTTCATATCAACGACGACTTTCGCATAATAGGCTGGAAAATAAGGCCTAGACGAGAACATATACTAGTGGATGGGAGCTAACCTACCGTAATCCAACGAGATCCGGAAGTACAGTGTTATCACGGGTGTTATCATGAAATGTCTTCATCAGATCATCACTCCACGAGTAGGGTCGTCTCTCAGTTGTATTCAGTACGACCTCACTGGTTGGTCATTCTACTCGTGCTCATCTCCAAGAGCCTGCCCACTCTGTTCACTAACGCTGACAACAACTTTTCACTTCTACTGACGACTTCCATCAGATCAAAATGTCTTTGCTCATCAAAAACGGTACCATTGTGAACGAGGACGAGATGTGTCGTGCTGACATACTTATCGAAGATGGAGTCATCGCGTAAGTTCTTTCCTTGTTCAGGAGTAGTGGTGGGCCTGCACTGAATGTCTCTCCAGCATCACTCTGGGACCCGTGCCATCTATCGGCCGATCTGCAAAGGGGTAAAGGCTTCTTCATACCGCGAGTTCGAATCCTTGCGAAGCAGGGCAACGCCTCCCAGTCCCTGTGCTAGGCCCGTCACTAGCAGGAATTGGTACCAGTCCCCATATCGTGCCAAACAGAGCTTTCAGAAAAGGGGATTCTCGCGATAGTGCGCTATTGACCGACCGCACAGCAGCATTGATTAGAGCGACATCGAGACAGTTCCCTTCAACCACCCAACTAAGTCGCGCTATCCAAAATGAACAATGGTTGTATACGCGAGTAACTGATATACTTTTTCCACCGGCACAGTCGGTTTGAATGTGAAAGTAACACGAACGTGATATGGGGCACAGTGATAAACAAGCGCGGCTTACGAAAATGATGGGATAATCTTTCTTGAAGGCACATCCCGCAACCATGATTGGTAACGCGGCAATCAAGCGAGGTGGCGTTAGGGAGGAGGGGCAAGAATCCACCCCGGCGTTTTCTATCTTTGACAAGTGGAACACTGACCAATTAGTGTTGGTAGAGAGACGCAACTTCAATTACCCCCCC